AGCCCCTAATAAAATGTTTAAAAAAAAAAAAAAGAAAGCATCTAAGAGGTTCAGTTACTATTACTCACAAAACCAAACATAAATGAATATAGATTGATGGGGCCTTTCCAGGCGGGTGAGGCAGTGATTGAGCACTTTACTGTGATCTGATACGTTGCCAGTTCCAACCCCTGAGCCTCTCAGTAGCAGGGAGATGAGGCAGTCTGCTTCAGTAGAGATGATTGCCTTAGAAACCAGTTCTGCTTTCTCAGAGTTCTCCTACAGGGTCCCTGTCATTCAGAATCCACGTGAGGCAACAGGTATCTGGGGGACTACGGGGATTGATGTGGAGTAACAGGCTCTTCAAAATGAAAGCAAATGATCTGTGAATTACTTCTGGCTGACTAACCTGAAATCTTCAAGTCTCATCTAGTACAACTTTCACAGTTTAGCCTCTTAATGACTAGAACTTAGAATGCACTGCCATGGAGTTGATGCCATTGAGTGGAATCACAGTGACTCCAGAGAACAGGGTAGAACTTACCCTGTGGGTTTCCAGGATGGGAAAGTCTAACGTGAGTTGAAAGGCTAATCTAACTCACTCCCAGTGCTCGGTAATTTTGGACTACCGAACTTGAGGTTAGCGGCCCAATGTGTAATCCAACACAAAACCAGAGATCCTTCTAAGAAACAGAGGTAATTACTAATCCTGAGGGGTTCATTACAGGGATTTGCTGTTAACTTTAAGTTACTTTTGACACATAAATTGAACACATTTGAAAGTCTGCCTTTAAATGCATTCTTGATTATGAATATTATTTCCATGTACTCTGGCAAGGTGAATTGCCAGTAAATCTTAGATTTAGAATTATTTATTGATTAATCCATTTACAGATTTCTTGTCACACTTGATGAGAGACGGACCATAGCATCAAGAGCTTCGCCACTTTAAACTTGCATATGTTGTTGTTATTGTTGTTAGGCACAGTCAAGTTGGTTCCAACTCAGAATGACCCTGCATAAAACTGCCAGGTTTGGTTCTGTGC